CCCGTCGAGTCCTCCCTTCATTTCCTCCTCCCTCTCCCTTTCCTTCTCCTACCTTATCCCTTCCCCGCTCTGGCTCCTCCGCTCACTCCCAAAATCTCCCTTAAGTTCACTCCTGCCTTTCCGCTTTCCATCTGTCCCCTTCCACTCTCCTCGTCCTTCTCCGTCTCCTTCGCTTCCTTTTCTCCTTCCCTCTCTCCCTCATCCCACTTTGTTTCCTCAGTCCTCTTTCCCTTCTCCCTTCTCCGCCCCCCATCCCATTTTTTATTAAGTCCCCTACCTCTCCCTTCCCTTTACCCTGCTCTTTCAGTCTCTTTCTCTTCCCCGTTTTTCTCTTTAAGCCTCCTTCTCCTTCCCTTTCCCTTTCTCTCTTTCTCTCCTTCATTTCTCTCTCTACTCCATTTCTCCTTTCTTTTTCCTTCCCTCCCCCCCCTCCTTTCTTCCTTCTGAACCTCCCCACTCCAATTTCGGAAAAAAAAGTGATATAGGTGTACGTTTGTATGAATTAAGACCTTATTTTGCAACTGTAACTCCGCAGTCACATGGAATATAATTTCATGCATATCAATCTTAATTATCTTTCGTAATGATACCACTTCATCACCGTAACTATTATTATTGTAGTAATAGTAATAACATTTTTATCATTACCAACAATGTTATAATAATTAATACTATTATCACTGTTGTTCTTATCATTATCATCACAACTGACGTTGTTGCATTTATTATTGTTCTACTACTACTACTATTTTTTCCAGCTTCGTGATGCTTTAAAATTACCGCATTTATTTAGAATCAATTTCAGTCCATTATTTTCTATATAGTGTTTCCATATATCTCGAGAATGTTTCCATGTGTGCAGAGGACTGTTGATATTTTTTTTCCCGGAAAATGGAAATAATGATAGTGTTAATGAAACATTTAAACGCATATTGACACGCATCTGGATTTGCATATTAGAAAAAAAAAATATATATCCATTATTGTAAACACAATTATACACATGCGCGCACACTAATATGATTTTACACAATGCACATATACACGCCAGAACGGTTTCGTAACTAGGTATGTTTGTGTGTGTGTGTGTGTGTGTGTATGTGTGTGTGTGTGTGTGTGTGTGTGTGAGTCTGCGTGTGTGTATCTGGATGTGTATAATCATACCTTTATATATATATTCATCCAACTACTTATTCATCATTTCACTCATCATTTCACAATATCAAACTTCACAACTACACACAAAAAATGCATTACCCAACCAGAACTGCATAATTCATCCATTCAAACCCTACTTAACGATAATAATAATGAAACCTCGTAAGTATGCATTGAAGACATTTTTAAAAAGATCTTTATAAACTCGAAGGGAAATTAAAAAGTTGCCCGATTTTAAGTTAACGATAGTAAGCTTCGCCGCAGTTAATTTTTTTTTTCTCTCTTTCTTTTCTCTCATTATGGCTTCCCCTCTTTCTATATTGTATGTGTATGCAAAGAGACTCATAAACAGAGGTGTTAAAGATGTACTAGAACAAAGAGCGACGATGAAGGACGTAGGGATAGGGAGAGTGATGGAAAGAGAGAGAAAAATGAGAGGGTGAGAGAAAATACAGGGAGAAAGAAAAGAAAGAGGGGGAGGGAGGGATGGAGAAAGGGAGGGAGAGAGGAAGGGAGGGAGGGAGAGAGGGAGGGAGAGTGAGAGAGAGGGAAAGAGTGAGAGAGAGGGAGGGAGGGAGGGAGAAAGAGGGAGGGAGGTAGAAAAAGGGAGAGAGAGGGAGAGGGAGTGAGAGGGAGAGAGACGAAGGGAGTGAGAAATAGAGTGAATGAGAGAGAGAGAGAGAGCGAGAGAGAGAGAGAGAGAGAGAGAGAGAGAGAGAGAGAGACCACAATCAGATGAATAAAAGAAAGTAAAAAAAAAAAAAAAATCAATCACTCAATAAGCACTTGTGGCGAATGTTGTTAGTGAAAATTCCGTCTTGTTTATATTCTTATAAACCCCTGATAACAACCTTTAATTATAACTAGTACAAACTATTAAATACGAAGAAGGACTTGAAGAGGAACGTAGTGACGTATAAAATTGCACTTTGATGAGATTGATTGCAAACTTTTTATTTTGTATGTTTGTATAACATCGCAGTGAAATCGAATGCTTATAATGTTTTTACGTGTACGTGTCAATACACACACATGTACATGTATGTTGTATATTGATGGTTAGATAGATAAATATGTGTGTGCGTGTGTGTGTGTGTGTGTGTGTGTGTGTGTGTGTGTGTGTGTGTGTGTGTGTGTGTACGTGTGTGTGTTTGTATTTATATATATATACATATATATATAATTATTTCTATATCTATGCATATATGTACATTCACTAAGAAAAGTATCTTTACTCTTTCTGACTTAACAGTGTGATTCGATGACGAAAGCGGTTGGAGAAAGTGTTGTGAGCTCGACCTGATATTGGTCTCTCTTTAGGGGCGTCACTCTCCCTCCCACTCCCAAGACTCCCCCACCCCCCACCACAGGGGCCTTAGTGTTAGACTTTTTTACTAATTACACCTATATAGATCCGGTTATAGCTTTAAAATGCCTCCTGTATTAGCTCAATTTTCTACTCGTATGTTCACTTGGCTCGGCTACATTTTAAAAATGTAGAGTTTTGAAATATATAATACTTTTAATATTTCGTGTTACCGCCACTAGCTTGGCTCTAATGCTGGCAAGTCTACGTGGTATAAATGCCACTGACGCCGCCGTTAACTGGCAGACCGCAATCATTCCCATGCTGTAATTGTTTGGGTAACGACGATTGTGGGCATGATCTCGGGGGGGAGTCTCTGCCCATGGCTGTCCAAACTTTCTCAACGGATTGAGATCTGGCGATTTGAGTGGATGTGGCACAGCGTAATCTCTGGGTGTTGCCGAAACCACGCCTTCAAGACTTTGCTCGTGTTGATGGGACTGTTATCCAGGACGTGGTAAATATAGCTCTGGGGAACACCTTGGCTCTCACCGATGGTAGAAACATTTAGACCTGGGTTTTCACGTAGGCATGCCTTGTAAATCTGCTGGGCCCGACATCTGTCAAATCCCCAAACCTGCTGCTGTGCAACCACACATATAGCCCAGCAGTTTCTGACAGTCTGGATGCTGTAGCATAGTGCGTTGGATGTTGCCAGCAGAACCGAAGGGGTCCGTATGTTTTGCAGTAGATATGGATTGTCTAATAAATACTGAAAATAAATATCTAAGAAGAAAATTATGCTCGGTATGGGGGCGTACCGGCCACGCCCTCTTCCTAAACCTATTCAGCCGTGAAGAGTGTTGCCACTGAGTAACAAGTGGTTTTCATTAGCTCATGGTATTCATGTACTTCAGTGCAAGTTTCTTATTTGTCTTTCATACAGCATATTGATATATAGATCTGAATGAGACTTACTTGATCTTCCTTTGTTGGATATCTAAGGTGCATACGTCTGCCCTTGTCTCTGGTGGTCCAGTTGCTTGATGTCAATGGATCTACAGACACGATCGATCGGCTTTTAAATGTCTAACCTTCTTGATATTTCAACCTTTGGTAGTCCCTCAGAATAAAGCGTAATTTTGCGCTATGGACGGTCTATGAGGTATCCATTGTTAATATTGCCACGATATGAGGCCCCAGCCATATCAACTTTGAAACCCTATTCGACCACGTTATAAAGCTTCATCACGTCTGAGCTTTGAAAAGAACATGTACCAACCATTTTGAATCAACTCCTTGCGATTGCTTAAGTTTCATCTATTCCCCAGTAGAGATACTTTTTAGCGAGTGTACATATATACAGAAACTTATATGCTAGTGCCACAACAATATGTATATGTGTGTATGTGTTCATATATATATGTGTGTATGTGTGTGTAAGTATGTATAAGGTAGAAAAACCTACAGTTCACGAACTAGATTTACTGAAACTGAGACAACAGTTTCGGAATCCTGGATTCTGTCTTTAGGTCTAAAGAGAAAAGGGAGAGGAGGGAGTATAAAAAGCAGAGGAGAGGCAACGCAGTGAACAGGGGGCAGTTGAGGACAAACGAATGGAAGCAAAGGGAGGTCATGTCAAGGGAGATGGAGGATGTGGGAAGCGATGAGACTATCGATAGGAGAAAAGCCACTGTTCAAGTTGAAATTATGCAACAGCTTTATTAAGGAGGATTCCACCAGACTGTGGGCATGGACATCAGTGGGAGGAAAAACAATTCGCACAGCTGACCAATCCATCTAATGGCCTGTGTCCCACTTATGGCAGAAGAGGGCATTGTTGTTGTATCCCTTGAATTACTGTATTTATGTAGAGACAGACGCTTGGTGAGACTGGCGCCCGTCTCGCCAAAGTATTGCTTATCACTGGAGGCACAAAGAACAGCATAGGTACCCACCAAGGTAGAGAAAGGGTTAGTGTGAACCAGGTTGCGACTGAGTGTTCACCTGACAAAAGAGAAGCCTGCAGCTGAGAGGGTGAAGAGGGAGACGGAGAGAGTAGATCTTCTCAGTGTAGGGTAAGCTCAACACGGTAGAGTGTTTTACCATTCATATATGTGAGCATACATATATGATATATGTATATATATATATATATATATATATATATATATATATATATATTATATATGTATAATATATATATATATATATATATATATATATATATATATATATATATATATATATATTATATATGTATAATATATATATATATTATATATGTATAATATATATATATATATATATAAATATTATATATGTATAATATATATATATATATATATATATATATATATATATATATATATATTATATATGTATAATATATATATATATATATATATATATATATATATATATATATATGTTTGTGAGTACAAAGTGTGTGTATATATATAGGTATGTATGTATATGCACACACACACACATACGCACACACACACACACACATATATATATATATAAACTAAGA